GACCTAATATATGAAACACTCCTAAAGAAAGCAATGCTGATAATTACAAGGAAACCTACATGTATAGGAAACCAAGAGAATTAAAATGAAACCATAAATCAGACAAGCAAGGCAAGGAAGCATTGGAAACAAAGGGATATTGGAGAAACTAATTGGGAAGTCTTTTTTGTCTTCACTACAAGCTCTGAAATTCATCCGTGAGAGCATGTGGAAGATATTCTTGTCTCAAACAGTGAGACCCTCAAGTCTTACTCTGGACTACGTAGTAACATTTCAAGAGGTTTTTTTTTTCTGTTGTTGTTGTTGTTCGTTTGTTTTTATGTGGTTTTTTTTTGTTGTTGTTGTTGTTGTTGTTTTTTTAACTGTGTGTCCTGCTGATCTTCTACAACTATGAAGCTGCAAGTGTAAACATATTAGTACAGGCCTCTTTCTCAACCTCAGTTTTCAGAGAAGCTACAACATAACAGATAGCCTTTTTGTTTCTGCTTTCCTCACATAAAAAATTATCTTCGGTGCYTGAAGTTTGCTACAAAGCAATACTTAWCATTTCCAAGGCAAAAGAACTGYTAAGAAATGGGGAAAATTATTTTYCAGGAAACAAAGGCCTGGGAAAAGTGTAATTGTAACAGCAAAGAAACTCTGCATTACAATATTACAGGGATGCGTGGATGGACAATGAAGATTTCAAACAGGAATATGGTGTTCATAGTTCATTGTTTTACATGAAAAGGTTCAAACCCAGGGACAAAAAGAAAATCATACTGCCTAGTATTAGAACTATGCATCAACCAAGGAAAGGAGTTAACTGTATCTACTGCGTCTTTTGCCTCATTAATAGGCCCAGAACTCTYGTCTCCAACCATTCACAACTTTCACAGTGTACTCTAATTGTTGTAACTTGCAAAAACTATGCAAATAAAATATCAGTTGTGCAGTCAAAACATCTGTAACGTACACCTTGATCAAGTCATGTACCAGCAAGGGGAGTTGTACTTCTCTGCAAGGTTCAATAGCCTAACATTTCAGATCATCTGAACAGGAGTAGGTACACAAGAAGGG